TTTATATAAAAGGTTCTAGTATTTTAATAGCATTATACTTTTAAGATGTTATGTCTTATCAAATCCGTTCGACTAACGACCCTCCACCAAACAAGGAAGCGGTGGGTGATAGTATACACCTATTCAACGATCATTTTATAGATCGGTTCCATATACCCCCTTATAGTATGACTTTGTGAATGTGGTGTACTAGCAATTTGACCGACTTGTCTTATACATATATTATACTTTTAATCATATATAGTATAAGGTGTATTTTAAACTTATCAAAATACTAAGGTTTAAAATTAATTTTTGAATTAAACTTTTAATAAGTAATTAATTTTAAACTAATTAACGATTTACCAAGTATCCTTTAATCAACTAAATAAATTTAAATAATTAGGGATTTAAATAATTATCTTCAATAAACAATTAATTAAGTAATTCAAATTTAAATCATTGAGGATTAAATAATTATCTTCAGTTAAACAATTAATAAATAATTCGAATTTAATCATAATCCTTTAACCCTTCTAATTTTCGAAAAAATAAGGATAAGGATTACCATGTTTTAGTTAAAATTTTAAGGCATTTAAAATAACAATTTAAGGAAACCGGAAACCCTAAGGGAAACCCTAGCATTTTCGAAATTGAGGGGGTGTAGGTTAGGGTTTCAAGAACCCTAGCCATTTTCAAAATTTAAGGCTATTAGGATTTAATTTCCATAAACCCTAATTTTGATCAATTAACTATCATGCACAATCAATTAGAAAAGTAAGGCTCTGATACCATTGATGAATTTTCTATGTTATAAAAAATTCATGTGGTGGAAAATACACTTAAACCCTTAAGTTCACATGTAACCTAGAAAGGATCTATGTTTTCTCTATTGATAGCAATAAACTATGAATATTAAGAAACCCTAGAGAGAGGCTACGCAAATTCAAAAAATCATATAAATATTTGATTTACATACCTCTTGATTACTATAGCAAATAATCACCTAGAATCCTCTTATAGTTCCTAGGAAAGCAGGCACATAGTTCCTTGGAAAGCAGGCACCAAAAGCTTCAGTGTTTCTAATGGCTTGTACTAAAAACCCTAATAACTAGAAAACTTGAGGAGAGGGGAGGCTAGATCAAAATTTCAGCTCTTGAGAGTGTGTAGGGTGCTGTTTGTTTTTTAAGATGTAAAATGTCTGCAGTGTGCGGACCACATCTGCAGATATCTGTAGAAGAAGAGGTGGACCAAACGTCTGCAGTCTGCAAGAAGAAGAGTGTTTGTTTTTTAAGATCTGCAGACTCCTAAAAAAATAAAATTAAAATAAATTGATTTTTTAAACTTAAAAAAAAATTATCATCGAAATTAAATAATTCTTATCGTAGTTTATTTAATATATAATCATATAATTAGATTTCAATATTAATAAATCACATCCAAAATTATCTAATAAAAATATATCAATGGCTTTGAAAGATAAACAAAAATAAGATCCTAAAAATGTATCATACATGCAACACATCTTTTTTATTCAACCTGGATTAAATTTATATGTAATAACATCAACAGAGTCATATACACATTACATATAAATTTTACAATCATAACCATCTTCACTAATAAAAATTATATCAAATAAAAAAGAAAATGAAATCCTAGACTTGTCTTAGCTTAGCTCGCTAATTCATAACCTAAGGTGAATTCTTGAACAACAAAGCCACATACACATAACCTGAGGTGAACTCTTGAACAAAAAAGCCACATACACACTGCAACAATTGCCACCATTGAGAGCATTGTCGGCTTATTCAAATTTCCATGCTTCTCGACATATTTGGTGTCGTTTGCCTGTAAAGGTTGTAAATTTGAGTCTTCATTGTGTTAAATGAACTATAAACAATAAAGTAATCTCTTCCAAGATGCAATGCCCCTATTAGACATTTGATCAAACACTTGGTGGGCGCTGTTTATGTGATTTTAGAAACCCAAAATGATTTCAACAAAAAAGAACATCCAAAACAATAACATAATTTGATTCAAGAAATCATTTAAGCAAACACAACATCAGAACCATAAACAAAAACTGATATATGATTCAATGACTTGCACATCCAAATCAGATAAGAAAAAAAGATAGGATACGATTATAGAGAGAAAGTTAGACGAAATAAATACCTCATGAACAACAACAGGAGGCGGAGGCGTGGGGGAGAGGGTGGTGTTGATGGAGGCCGTTCGGCGACATGTAAGATGGTCCGATGGGCAGAACCTACTTTTGTTTTCAGGGGGAATCCGGTGGTGAGAGGCTGAAGAAGATTGGTGGTGGAGGGAGTCGTCAATGGTGAGGAGGTAGTGATGGATGTCGGCAGCAGCTATGGATGTCGACAGTAACGGTTGTTATGGACGGTCAGGAAGGCAGCGACCATCAAGAAGAGGAGGATAATCGGTGAAGGAAGGAAGGTTGAATGGTGAGAAGGAAGGAGGCGTTGTCAGAGAAATAAGCGTGTTTTTTGGAGGGCTTTGAATAAAGTGTGCAGAGCTTAAAAGACTCAAGGCCAAGTCTGTGCCACGAAGACCTCGCGCAGATGTTTTTATGTCTGCAGACTTCGGAAAAACAAACGCATTGTGAAACCTTATGTATGCACGTGGTCTGCGAGGTGCAGACAAAAGAGGTCACGCAGACAAAAAACAAACAACCTCTAGGAGTAGACAAAAATATGAGACCCTAGGGGTCCTATTTATAGCTAATAAGGAAGCCTTGGATAACCCTAATTTGAATATAATAATAATAATTTAAATATGGTAATTATCCAACTCCTTAATTATCAATAAGGACCATTCTAGAAACCCTAAAAGCCCTAGCCAAAACCGGCCATACTAGGAGGGTTCTACAATCCCTCTCTTGTTCAACTATTGAACAATTATAACTTAGTCCTTGCACTTCCAATTAATTCTAATTAACCCGAAATTAATTCCAATTATTTTGTGATTAATTTTTAATTAATTATTACCATTTCTAATTAATATATTAATCATATAATATATTAATATATCATTTGTTACAATTTATTAATCATATAATAAATTAACAGAACATCTCTCTCCAAAATTCATTATACTCACTTATCGGTTATGAGGGCAACCCAAAAAGAACATTGTTTCTAATTCAAGAATATACCAATTTAGTTATTGGTTTAGACACCTAATCCAACATCTTTATATCATATGTGTTCCGTTCCTGATTTACATGTATCTACCGGTGGCTTTCAAGAAGTTAAAGAAAAGATGTGTCTTGCAATTAAACATGAATTCAACGAGATTAAACTGAAACTCACAAGTGGAAAAAAAAAATCAAGTTCTTCATAATTATGACATGCCGGTTTTTTTGAGAGGTTTTGTCTCATGTATCTCATTTTGCATTAGAGGCGATACAAATGCAATATGAAAAAAAAAATGTTAATATTTAATATTTTCAAAGATTATAGTTTTTAATTATTGTAAAACATTAATTTTTACATTAACCTTTAATAAGTATTTGGTTTTTAGGTATAATGACTTCTTATACGGTCATTTTATGGCAATTGTGGGTCTTCCTTGTGCTCACAAGATAAAACATCTACAAGGAATGCCACTTTCTATGGATCTTATTCATCCACAATCGATGATTGATACTTTGCGTCTGAATTCGGAAGATGATTCACACAATGATTGTGTCAACAAATTTGATTAGTTGCTTATTGAGTTGTCTTCATGATACAAAATGTGACCGCTAAATAAGAAAGACTTTGTTACTTTTATGATTACTAAGCTTTTGACCGAATCCTATACGTTCTTTGAACCAATGATTTGTCGACCAAAAGGTAGACATCCAAAATCAAAAAAGAAAAAAGGAATAAATTTTACCGCACGAGGCCCTTCAAGATTCGAGTTTGTGGAATCATCACAAACACACATTCCTTCAAGTTCTACCGGTGACTTCCAGATGAATAATGAAGTTTTTGAGAGCAACTTATTTGATTTGAATGCATATCCAAAATTTTAAGTGATTGTATGAAATTGAAGTAAGATGAATATTTTCTTTATCGTCAAGTTTTTTATAAAATTATTATGATCTAAATATTTTTGTTGGGCAACATTTATATAGTAATTTGATATGAACTAGTTTGAATTATTTATTGCGACATGTATTAGTTTGAAACAATTAATTTTCGTTACATGTTCAACAGATAATGCCTTTGATGGATACATGAGAAAACAAATCAACTTTTGTTAAATTTTTATTAAGTGATAAATAAGAAAAGAAAAAGTTTGAATAAATTGATGTGGATAAAAGGCATCACTTAGTAGGGATGGACAAAAAGGAAAACAAATTAATATGTGTTAGATTTTATTTTCAAGTTATTAACAAATAAAAAAGACTATTAAATGTTATAAATTGGGGCAGGTACAAAACCTATTTATCTTTCTTTTTGTATTTTTGTAATTTTTAAATAAGGGTAAAAGTGTCAAAACATTTAAATTTAAGTAGATAGATAAAATAAATAAGTAGAAATACCATGCATTAAACATACACCATCAAATCAAACATAACTTAAGCCCTTGGCGAGGTTAAGGCTATGTTTGGCGTACTAGCTGAAAAGCTAGCTGTTAGCTGAAAAGCTAGCTGATAAAAAATGACGTTGGTAAACAAATTGAAAAGCTAGCTGAAAAATATAAAATTACATAAAATGACATTTAAGAGAATGTGTTTCTATAATTAATTAAGTGGTATATTTGGAAAATTTTGAAAAAACTCCTAAAAGGCTAGTCTAAGTAGCTTTTTAAAAAGCTAGCTTATAAGCTAACTACTTTTTGGTTTGCCAAACACGACAACATAAAAAAGCTCGAAAAATAATTTAGATTATTAGCTAGCTGTGGCGCGTCAAACACAGCCTAAAACTCTGGAAACAAGAAAATAACAAAAATAACAATCTTGATCAATTGAACTCAATAAGAGCAAGAATTATTTTGATAATATACCACTGAGGAAAGCAACAAATTGAACAAAGATTTAACGACTTTAAAACTATAAACATTGATTGTATTGGATTAAAATCAATAGCTGTAGTATAAACTATAAAATGTGTGGCTCACACGTCTCTTTCATTCTTTAAGAAGATGCCATGGTTCTAAAGCAGAGGTTCAAGGGGTAGTTTGGACTTTTGCCATTGGGTTCTCCTCAAGTACATTCACAATAGCAGGAAAGGGTGGCTGAGAAACAGCTTCTTCAGATGCCTTGTTGGATGGAGGAGCTGCAGCTTCTGCAGATTCTGAAATGATGGCAACTTTTGTACCTGGTTCAACAGCATCCCCTTCCTGCGCCACAAACTACAAAACATCAAAGCTAAAATCATTCAGCTTCCTAAAATTCAGAAAAATTATCCATTTTTTGGCAACTTAAGCTGAATTAATGCCAAAGTTGAAGATATTTTCTCTCTTAAATCATACCCGCTTCAGGAGTAGCAGCATCAAAAAGTCACCTGTAACATAAACAATACATATGGTTACTAGCTCAAAAACTTCCATAACAAGGCTAAGTATACTAATACCAAATACCTTGTACTGTTTCACCTTGTGCAAGAATTAGTTCATCAATTAACTTCTACCCTATCGCCAGGTTCTGCTCCAAGAACATCAATTGGAAAGTATGATGGTTAAAGAAACTCGGTTACATAGACTGATGTAAACCAAATAGTTTCCAAAATGTAGTCGGGCAAGTGAACTTGTGTGTAGACTGCTTCCCAGATGCTATGAACTGATATTCAAAACAATGATAAGAACAAAAGATTAACTGATTAGCTGAAATCACTCGACAAATACTCAAATGATTACAAGAGAACTGTTACGCAAATTCGAGAAGCCACTCTCCCAAAGGTACCATTACCGGATTTCTCACATAAGATGATCGACTCTCCCTCCCCCACTACCATCTTATACTATCTGTCATAACAATCTATATAATATAAAGTGCCTAAAATACCCCTAATGTCCCAGCAGTAATAAGATGCTCTTTAGTTCCTGATTTTCCCTTAATACCCCTTCCCTCATGTGTGACTTGAGTGGGTGCATAGCAATATCCTGCCCTCGAAGAACCACCTTGAGGAGTCCTCCAGGTGGATAGAAATGGTGTATAACATCTCAATTCTCCCACGTGGCCTCTTTATCTTGTCCTCAACCATACAATGATCTGCAGTCACTACATCCCTTGGTTCCACTGCCTTTAAGATCATCTTAATCAGCCTTGTCATTCACATTAAGAATCACACTTGGGGGCAGGTACTGGTCATTAGAACCAGGTCCCTCCCGTAATGTCTTCATTGTCTCAACAACCTTCTTGAACCTGACTGGAGGCTTAGCACCAGAACTCCTGTTGCAGGAAATGGTTTAAATGCTGGGACAGATAGTAACACAAATACATTTTCATATGCAAAAAATAAAAAATAAAAAAATAAAAAAAAGGAATACTATTTTTACGCATCCACATGGTGTTGGAATTTTAACATCTGATTGTTACTTTGTACGTCGTTTGGATTTGGTTTTAAACTCGCATAAGGTTCCAAATTGAACACAAACAAAGATTAAGCTACTGTACAAAACCAAGCTTAAGAGACTATAACACGGACTCTTCTTTATGTATAGTACTTGTATTTGGTCAGAATAATTATTCTAAATGAAGTAAGATAATTAACAAAAAACCGAGAAATTACCTTGTAGTTTAGTTCCAACTTCCAGTTGTGGGTGGTTGCTGTGGATGTAAAATCACATGACTGAATAAGCCCTCACGGTATGTTCCAACATAAAAAATATATATATCTTTCTGCTCTAAACATCTCTAATCAACAAATCTCCTTGGTAACTTCTCAAAAAGCCAACAACACTTAAGTCTGATAGATTTCGGAATTCAACATACAAATTCTATCTGGAAGATGTAGACAACAAACTTAGCTCCTCTTGGGTACCCGTGGAATACTGCCTTTGAGTTTAAGCTTTCTTTAACGTTGTAACTCACAAATGCTTCTTGAAAATGTCTCAAGTTTTGTGCAAGAACACGGACCTTCAGAAATAAGCTTCTCAATACTTCTAGTCAATGAGGGTAAATCCTCTTTATGAAAAGATTTAAACTCAAACTCTGGCAAATGATTTTCGGGGTGAAATGAGCAAATTTTTAGGGTGAAATATAACTCAGCTAAAGGACGGACCTCAAGTGATTCATTCACTATACCAGAAGTATTATCCGTTGAATGAAACAAAAAATATCTAAACCCGAAACAGCCACTTAAGTTTAAGTAGACAAGATTGTTTAGACATCCAATGGGAGGATGAAGTTCTACCAAGTTATAACATTCTCTAAGATCTAACTTCTCGAGATTTGGAGTCAGCCCAAGGTCAAGGATCCTCAACTTTGAATGACTTATGTTGAGAGATACAAGCTTTTGACATTGATCGTCCATGTGAAGTTGTTCCAAATCATAACAATCTTTAAGATCTAAAGCAGTGAGATTGGTTGACAGCCCAATGTCGAGGGTCCTTAACTTTGAATTAGTGCATTGTAGGATGAAGAGATTTATAGATCTACCAGGCAAGTGAAGTTCTACCAAACCTATGCATTCAGAAAGAAACAAGTGACTGAGATTAGGAACCAGACTGAGATCAAGGGTCCTCAACTTTGAACACTCAATCTTGATGAATGTGAGCATTGGACATTCAGCAATGTGAAATTCTTCCAAATCGTTACAATATTCAAGATCCAACCTCTCAAGATTTGGACTCAGCCCAAGGTCAAGGGTCCTCAGCTTTAGACCAGAAAGGTTGAGGGATCTGAACTTTAAACATTCATCGGCCATGTGTAGCTTTTCCAAATCACAATCTTCAAGCAACAAATTCTCAAGATTTGGAGTCAACCCAAGGTCAAGCGTCCCCAACTTTACACCATAAAGTTTGAGGGATCTAAGTTTTAGACATTCACCGGGCATGTAAAGTTCTACCCAATCACCTTGCCCTTTAAGTGTCAATGTCTCAAGATTTGGAGTCAGCCCAAGGTCAAGGGACCTCAACTTTTTACCATGGAGGTGAAGGAATCTGAGCTTTTTAAGAACCTGAAAAAGGCTAAATCATAAAGTGAATATTGGTATAATAACAAAGAAAATGATGTATAGCCATGTAATGGATCATGCAAAATAATTAATCAACAACAATTTTACCTTTCTTTCCCCCCTTTCCCAAAGTTGTACGATATCGCCGAAATCCATCTGAAGCGCGACAAGATTATTTGCTTGAAATGATTTTGGTAAATAATTAGAATTGTACCCGTCCCATCGCAAATATCATAAAGCATCTGGAATGTATGGGCTGACTTCATTAAATTTCCAATCACAAAAAAGAAATCCTAAAGCGTTTAGAAAGTTTGGAATGAGTTTATTAATTTCTCGATTGGGGGGACGATCTTGTAGAGCCACATCCACATCAAGAAACCGAAGTTCCTTCATCTTTCTAAGACCTTTTATAAAGATTTTTGAATCAAGTTTCCTACAGTATAATTGTATACATTTTGTGGCCTCAGTACCCTGTAACAGAAAAGCAATAACCATGAAACTTGTTTGTAACAAATGAAAACGTGTTGGTTTCTCCTATTTACAAATAAACTTTAACCTTACCATGTCATTAGCCAATATATCTTCTATTTCCTTTCTATCCCACAGTCGGCTATGTTTGTTAGGCATATCGGGATGTGAACGACGAACGATATTCCTGCCCATTTCTTCTAAATGGTCATGCATGCACAAACGCTCGTTATCATCAATAGTTATGAGAGACTTTTGCTCAAGAACTCTTAAACCAATTCTAGCATAAAATCCACAGCTTTCAAGTGCTTTGATTGCTGACTTTTTCTGCCGACCTTTTAATATGGTTGCAACATCTAGGAATATTTCCTTGTGATCGTCATCTAGACCAATATAGCTTAATTCCAACTTCTTCTGAGTTTCCTCTAACGGGATTGTTTTTAGTCTAGCTAGGGCATCTACCCATTCAGGCTTACTTTTACCACAAAGAAATGAACCCAAAACTTTGATCGTCAAGGGAAGTCCAGCAGCATAACATACAACTTGTCTTGAGAACTCTTCGTACCCTTGAATTGGAATCTCTCGCCCAAATGTGTATCTACTAAAGAGCCAAATTGCTTCCTTATTGGATAATAGACTGATATTATGAATCTTCACTCCATGTGCTATGAGCACTTGCTTATCTCTTGTTGTAATGATAATTATACTGCCCCGCTTAAACCAATTAAGGTCACCGGCTAACGCCTCAAGCTGATCTACATGGTCCACATCATCGAGAACAAGAAGAACCTTTCTACCATTTAAAGGGATTTGATTTTGCAATGAATTCAAACCGGACAAAGAAGCTTTTGAAACTTCTCTGACATTCTCAATAAAGCTTTTACCTTCAAACTGAAAGGATAATTTATTAAAAACAGCTCTGGCCAAAGTCGTCTTCCCACCTCCTCCTATCCCCCAGATCCCGATCATGTGAACATCATCCGAAGCAGTTTCTAAAGATGATAAAATATCGTTGATCCGGGTCTCCATGCCTACTAAGTTTTTATCAATGCGGACATTGATGGCACGTAACTCTAGTGAAAGCTTTTCAACAATTTGTCGGATGAATTTTGCTTCATGCCTGTATAGTAGAGAAGATTCAGTTAGCTTACTCAAAATCCCTCATAAACAATTACTTATAGATCTATAGCATACAAACGTATATGAGGTAATAACATGGCAAAAAATCATAATCATTCGACAAGACTCCGGAATTGACTTAAGAATTGACAATCCAAAATGAGAGGCCATGTCCGAGCCCTTTACATCCAACATAAACATAGATTAAAAACAAACAAAATGAAAGAACGTTATAGAGTTATGATGAAGGAATTACCCATCATTAGTGTTCTTCAACTCCCACCCGGCTACATCAGCTGCTTCTTTCAAAGCCTTTCTCCATTTCCCAGCAGCCTCTTCCTTTTCGTGTCTGGCAAAAGCTTCTCCAACTGCCCCGATCTGACTGCGGACTTCAGAGGGTTCGACATCATAGAAGACTGGGTAAACAGTATGATCGGTTGACTTGTGACACTCCATTATCTTTAGAAGCTCATTCAAGCACCAAGATGAAGACGCATACTTCTTGGAGAAAACAATGATGAAGAATTTTGAGTCTTCAATGGATTCCATGAGCTCATCACTGATCCTTTTCCCTTTTTCAATTCTCTCGTCGTCCTTATAAGTGGAAATGTTTTTCTGCTGAAGAGCATAATAAAGATGATCGATGAAGCTTTTACGGGTGTCTTCACCTTTAAAACTCAAAAATACATCATACTTAAAGCTCTTAGGAACAGATGAAGTTGAAGAAGACGCCATTTGAAGGATCCTGTAAGATAATATCTTTGTTGGGGATAATTTATGTGAAACAATTGCAAAGAAACTCGGATGAGATGAACTGAATAACCTCGATCAAGGATACGGTTCTAGTAATGGTTATGTCAACGGTATCAGTTTCTAAAGAAAATCTAAGGAAATAGGTAGAGAAAAAAGCCACTTGATTGGTTGGTCAGAGAAGAAAGGGAGAAAGGAAAATTTTATGTTAATTTTATGTTTTTGTGTTCGGAGTTAGCAGTTTTTTTCCCCAAACTTTCCTTCCATTGAACACAATTTTCCTTCGACACCCCTCACTTTCCCTCCATATCCTTTCATTTATCTCCTTAAGTAGAACTCGGAAACAAAAAAAAAAAAAAAAAAAGCAAAAATCAAATGGAAATTGCAAAGAACATATTTTTCGTGACAATATGCAACCTGTTGTTGAACCGATAAGCATCAAATATTTTCTTATTTTTTATGCATTCGTAGCTCACACCTGACAAGCTTTTTATATAATAATAATAATAATAATAATAAAATCACATGTCATATGCCACCTGTTGAACAATTCATACAACTTGGATTAAAGAAATCGGTAAAAAGAACAAAGCAGAACTCGGTTTAGTTAAGCCCACCTCTTCTCCTTTCCACCACGTGACCACAAATGAGAGGTTCAGGTAAGATGAACAAAGGAGACGTGGGTTCAAGATCACTGGCCATCATTGCATCTTCGATAGCCCCGCACTCATTCTCCTTCCCCCTTGTGGCCATCACCGGGATTCCCGGTCTGGTTCTTTTATGTGCGATAAAGACGAAATCAAAAGACCAGGGAAGCTTTATGATGATCGATTGAAAACCATGGTCGCCATCACCGTGATTGGATGGTCGGAGACGAGAAACTCGACTCTGAGAAGCTAAAGCAGACCTGAATAACAGAGTTCTTATCTTCCATGTGCGAACAGGGCTTTAATCCTTTGTTATATGAGTATTTGTTCGTTATTAATCGATTTAAAGTTAAATATTCACTATTTTTTTTTTTTTTTGAAATTTTTTTTTCTTTTTAATTAAATAAATTAATATTGATTTTAATTGTCATCGAGGGAGATGACAAACGGGCAACAAGATGTGCCGCTAAGCCTTTTTGAATGGTAAAACTAATTCTTTTAAAGACTACATCCAAAGATGTAGGGGATATAACATTACTATGCATGATTCGTTGTACTCTTTTAAGAAGCTCTACCGCATCTGGTGCGAGGAAACCAAACGTATCAAATGCAAATGGTATGAACACGTGTTGATTTTCCATGTACGATTTCTCATGTTTGGTGACTTTGCCTGTAGCTGCTTTTAAAGCAGCATGTCCCGCCGTGAAACCCCCAGCCCTCAGGCCCACGAGAGGGGATACCCCTGTAAGATCCACACATGCGTGTTTCCCTCCGACCCATCCAAAAATCAAAATGTCAGTCGGTCTGAGGGTTGACCTTCCTTCTGTCGGGTCAATCAAGAAATTAACAGGTGCCTCTTTCTTAGCGGAAACCCCGACACGCTTAAATATGTCAAACAAAACATCCCTAACCATATCGTGCCTGTATTTGAACCCCGGGAGTTCTTTACAGTGAACTGCATGCTCTCCAAAAGAGTCCAAACATGCCTTGCGACACACAGGACATATCTCGTCAACTGGGAATATGAGAATCATGAGTCGATATTTTAGAATAGTACGATACTCCACGGGAGACATGTGTTGGCCAAGCCCATCTATAGGGATAGCCAGAAGAAAATCTTGAGCATGTGGTGCACGTAAGCACTGGAAAACCGCTTTCTGCCGAGCCGTCATATCGAGATGCACTTCCATATCTTGGACAATTTTACGAAAAAGGACACTCCCCAGTGTATTCTGGGATTTAGGGGGGGCGGTGTCTTTAGTAGTAAAATTGTTAAGGTCAAAATCTGGAAGCTTGTTGCGAAGGGATGCCAAGGCACAATCATAATCAGAATCCATACCATGTATACCGCTATCCCGTAAGATGTGGTCTTGCAATACCCAAGATTGGGCCCTTGAGGCAACAAAAGCATAGGAGGTAGCCTCTACTGCCGAGTATAAACCCAAACCCCCAAACCTAATGGGTAAGGAAGCAATTCGCCATTGTATGTCACCAAAGAAAGGGCCCCCACAAACCAGAATGTCCTCAATCGCCTCGCACAATCCATTGTCAAAGAACATTGCCGCCTCCTCCATGTGAACGGGTTGGCACGTCCTCAACCCAAAGAAAAGCTTAGCAATACCCATACAAGACCGAAGAAGAAGGAGCTCACTCTGGGGGTCAGACAATTGTGGAAGAAGGCGCATCAAATTCACAGCGTTTTCGGCTCTCTTTATGGCTAAGCTGCGAATGAAACTAGCATCTCTACTAACAGCTCCCCCAAGAAGTTTCACCCCCAAAGGCGGCCTCCCGATGTCCGCCGGAAATAGCCCCTCCCGTAACTTCCTACCATCACACGAGGGCCAAAAGAGTTCGGTTTTCTTGATATTCAGCTGAAGGCCCAATTTTGGGCCAATCACCGTAATGATGTCCAATGCTTTGGCCACCTCCTCCGAATCTCTGATAAGTGTGCCATCATCCAAGTACCATGCATGGAGAAGAAGCTTGCAATTGTCTCTAATCTTATGCAAGAGCGGGTGCAACACAATGACAAAGAGAAGTGGTCCCAAGGGGTCTCCTTGCTGAACCTCATTCACTATCTAAAAACATATTTATATATTTATATATTTAAACACATATTTATATATTTAAAAACATATTTAAATATTCACTATTAAATAAAAATAAAATCATATTTATATATTTAAAAACATGTTTATACATTTAAAAATATTTTTATTTGTATTTAATAGATATAAATAGGGAAAATACCAAGTATAATCATTTTTGGGGGGTAATTTCAAAAATTAGTCATGAAAAGAGACATTTCCGGCTATAGACACGCATTCCGCGGAAGACCCTCTGCGGAGCTCCACGGAACATAAATGTTGTACTTTTTTAGTCTTAAAATGTTTGTCCGCATAGATACCTCCGCGAAGTATTTGGTTTGGTTATTCATTAAATCCTCCGCAGAGGACGTTACGAGGGGCTCCGCGAAGGCCTTAAAATCCCCGCGGAATGGGTGGTTGCAAGACTATTAGCGACGGTTTTTTGTGATATAAACGATTTGTTTCATTTTTTTGACAAAACTGCACAAATGGTCCCCGTGGTTAGATGAAAATTGTCACTTTGGTCCAAAAAAGTTTGGACTAGCACCAGAGGTCCAATCTTTTCATTTTTTTGCGACTTTAGTCAAATTTGGTTTGAACTTTTTTATAAAGACGATTTTGCCCCTCATTATTTATTTTTTCAATTTTCTTTTATTACCAACAATTAAAAAACAATTAAAAATAAAACAAAAATAAAATCTCTCTCTCTCTCTCTCTCTCTCTCTCTCTCTCTCATCTCTCTCTCTCCTCTCTCTCTCTCTCTCTCTCTCTCTCTCTCTACTCTTTTCAGTCATAGAGATTTTCATCTCGTTAATCTCTATCACCACTGTTCCTCCTTACCCCAATATTCCGTTTTTTTATTAGAGGGAAATCTAACCCAACTAATTGAGAGATTCACAGCGGAATGCTTCTAGCAGGGTTTATGCCTTGAAATATTCTTTAAAGTAAAGGGATTCAAGAGATACCCATTTCAAAATCATGGCGGAACCATTGGCAGCATCGTCTCCGTCTTCTAATGAAGATAATGACAATACTTTTTCAACAAAGAAGAAATTCGAAGAAGAAACGGAACCCAAACCATTATTGGCGACTACATAGAAACAGTTCCAGAACGGGGATCTATACATCATAAGCTTTTCCGGTAATGTGCCTCACAGATCTAGGAAGTATTTATAGTTTGATGGGTGTATGTACGAAGTTGATTGGACGAGAGGTAAAGCAACTAGACTCGTTCTTACAGATCTTGAAATGAGAAGGGCGGCGGGTTAGGGTTTCATGAAACGAGAAGGATGACAACAAGAAAATGAGATAAATATAGACAGATGAAGGGGAAAGATCCGATCGGAGATTCAAACTGACCACAATTTGTTTCCCAACTTCAACTCTCCGATTTTGAGCTCCTATTTTGGCTTCACCACTGGTATTTCAGTCATCACTTCCAAAGCCTCACATTCTTCTACCTTGTTCCTCACATTCTTTTGACTGCCAAAAATAACTTGCTTCAGACTAATCACCTCAACCCCAAAATAGCCATACCACACAACTCAGCAACCACTTGATAATGGTATTAGGGATATCGTACATTGGAGTGTATGCAGAAAGATTAGAGGCATGTTTTGTATCAAATGCAAGGGATAGTTGAAATTTTAGGATCTAAGTTGTGGGTTACTTTAGAACTGAGTCTTGTAAAAAATCTAAGTGATTGGGAGACTGGGGTGTTCTTGATTGAGTAACAATAAGACGATTAAAACTTTTATGGTTATAGAGCGAGAGAATTATGTGGGTATGTGTATGTATGTTTTTGAATGTTGAAGAACAAACCAATAAATGTATGTGTTATGGTTAATGATGAGAGAGAGAGAGATTTTATTTTTATTTTATTTTTAATTGCTGGTGATAAAAGAAAAATGGAAAAATAAATAATAAGGGGAAAAATCGTCTTTATAAAAAAGTTCAAACCAAATTGGACCAAAGTCGCAACAAAATGAAAAGATTGGACCTCTGGTGCTAGTCCAAACTTTTTTGGATCAAAGTGGCAATTTTCAGCTAACAACAATGACCATTTGTGCAGTTTTGTCATTTTTTTTTATCTATTTGCAATATTCAATCGGTTTTAGTGTTGAAATTTGTTTTCAAATAAAATATGAGTTTTGTTATTTTATATACGGGGGGTTTTTAGCAGATGAGTAATGGAATTAACATCTATGTTAGACCAAAGTTTAACAACTTAGGTTTACTGCTTCCGCCAAATTTTGACCGTCGAATATTATTTGATTTGGTTAAAAGTAAGGCTAATGCGTTCAATAGTAATATATCATTGTCATTCAACACGCGGTTCATGGGTATGTTATGAATATTGTAGACGAAGCAGATGTTCATCAACTCAGAAATGTAATGTCTGAAACGAAGGAGATTGTGCATTTGTATTTGGAGGTGTTTGAGGGATAGGTCGAACCGACAGAAGCGGTTGACAAGATTGTACCATACAATGTTGAAAACATTGTATCTGATAATGTTGAAGATTGTCCACAAGAAGAAACTGTGGCAGTGAACACGGTGGAAGAAGAAAATTTAT